AGGCCAAAACTAAAGCTGGAGGAAGAGACGGAGTAATTGTGAAGGTCATACACCATCACACAGGAACACTATGCCTGCCAAAGAACAAAGCTTAATCAGAACATCAGAGAATGTCCCACTTTCCAAACTCCATACCACTAACAAGAGTTTACTAAATATAGCAGTGGAATAAAGCTGGCAGACCTACAAGAGAAATGAAATAAAGCTAGAAAGGCTGCAAAAGCATAAACTTATTTGTAAAAATAACAATCTGTAATAAAATTATGCTTAAGTTTTGTTATATATAAGTTTAGAACTCTAAGGCATAGACTTGTAGAGACTTAATCCAACTCTGTATTTTTAGATAATCAAGCTAAGATCTAGAGAAGGTAGAAGTACCATCTTAATTTTTTTTTTATTTTGAAGAGTACATATGCTATATTTTTAAATATATCTCTAGGAAACTCTAGGGAACAGCATAAAAGGAGAAACCAAAGCCAAGAGAAAATTACACATTGGAAAAAACTCCAAATGAACGAAACTACACCTAAACATTTCAGAGACTTTTTGAAGCATTCAGTGCACCGAATATAAAAACCAACATCAAAGCCAGACAAGTCTTTATTAGATACAAATCCCTAACACTAGAGGCCTAACAGAAAAAAACAAAACAAAACAAAACAAAAAACAACAACAAAAAAAACTCATCTCAAAGCACTGAAATACTTTCTTCAATATTTACTGTCCTATTCAAGATGTCCAATTTTAAAAGTTAGAAGGCATACAAAAAGGCAATAAACAGCACATTGTCAAGATACAAAGCAAAGCCCAGGGACCAGGCTCTTATATGGTACAGATGTATGAAGTATCAGACAGTTTAGTTCATTTAAAATAACTATGAGTAATATGACAAAAGATTTATTAAAAGACAGACAACATGCAAGATCAGATAGCTGGTTTCAGCAGAGACTGAAACTATATAAATAATTAAATGTAAATATTAAAACTAAAAGCAAAAAAAAACAACTCAGTAACACAGATAAAGTATTCCTTCAATGGGCTCAAAAATAGGGGGACACCATCAAGAAAAGAATTAATGAACTTGAAGTTAGGTCAAAAGAAATTACCTAACATGCAGTAAAAATAGAACGGGGGGAAAGAAGAAGAAGAAAAAACCCAAGAGCTGTGAAATCAAACAGTGTTATGTAAGTACAATGGGAATCTTGGAAAGACATAAAATGGGGAAGAAGAAATGTTAGAACATGTAATAGCTGAGAATTTCTGAAAACTGACAGGCACCAAACTATAATTTCAGAAAGTTTAGAGAATACCAAGCAGAATAAATACAAAAACCAACCAATCAAAATAGATATACATAATACTCAAATTGCTGAAAATAAAAAGCAAGGAGAAAATCTTATCAAGTCAGAAAAAAATGACACATTGCCCACAGAGGGAGAAAGATAAGAACTTCAGTAGACTTGTCATTAGAAATTATACAAGCAATACAGAGTTCCATCTTTCAAATGTTCAAAGAAAAACCTGCCAACCCAGAATTCTACAACCATCAAAAGAAAAAGACAAGTAAATGAAACCCAAAGCAATCAAAAGAAAGAAAATAATAAATATAAAATCCAAAAGCAATACTTGGAAAACAGAAAAATATGGAAAAATTCAATGAAACCCAAAGCTGGTTTGTTTAAAAGACTGATAAAATTGTTAAACACATAGCAAGAGAGAACAAAAGAGAGAGAGAGAGAGAGAGAGAGAGAGACAGCCAGCATCAGGAGTGAATGAGGACACATCACTATAGATCCTGAAAATCAGAAATCTGTCATCTATAAAAAGATAACACAAAATATTACAAAATTTTAATATATATAAATACAATACATTTAAAAATCCAATGTTGGACAAATTCCTTGAAAGATACAAACTACCAAAACAAAATTCATAAAATGGTGTGTTCCTACCTCATTGAGATTATATCTATGAACTCTGATATGACTTCAAAGACATATGACTTTATAAAGTATCTTTTCATCTTAATGCCTTTGTTTTCCCATTTATAAAATGGAGAAAATGGCTGTAATTACTGCAAAAGGTCATTGTTAAAATTAATATGCATACAATGTTTGGAATAATATGACACATGTTAATATTGTATTTATTATTTTTATAAAATTCATTATGCTTAGTAAAATAAGGAAGACACTGAAAGACATATATACATGACCTCGCTTATTATGTGGAATCTAAAAAAGTCACAGTTATACAAAAGTCAAACTCACACTCTACCCTACCACAAATATAGGGCAGAATGGTAGTTACCAGAGACTGGGGGATTGGGGGCCTGCGGTTCTTAGTTCAAGGGTACCAAATTTCAGCTAGAAGATGAATAGGTTCAGGAGACCTAATGTGCAGATTGGTAAATACGGTTAACAATAAATGCATTGTATACTTGAAATTTTACAAGGGTAAATCTCAAGTGTTCTCACCACACACACAAAAATGGCAACTATGTGAGGTGACTGATATGTTACTAGTTTGATGTAGTAATCATTTCACATTGAATATCTACATCAAAATATTACATTGTATACCTTAAATATATAATTTTTTTGTCAATCATATTATCAAGGAAGCTGGTAAAAAGAAAAATGTGAGAAAAATTCAAAATGACGAAACTAAAATATATACTTTCAGCACACATACATAAGTGTACGTGTTTGTATATACGTAGTAAATGCATAGAGAAAAGCAAAAGAGTAATACTGTAAACATTTAGGATAGTATTTACCTGAGAGGGGTTGGGAACAGAAGTATGGGATTTTAAAACAGCTTATTGGGAGGTCCAATATGTTGGTAATAATGCATCTTAACTTGTATAGCAAGTTCAAGGATGTTTGCTTTACTGTGCTTCATAACTTGCATATACCTGACATACATTTGTACATCGGGTGCTTCATAGTTATAAGCTATGATCTTATTAAAAAATAATAAGTGACAGGTTACAGGGGAACACTAAACACATTTGTTTGTGCTTTTACATGTTTGTGTGAATATTTAGAAAACTAGGAAAGTCCACACACCAAAAAGAGTTAATTCATCAGAATAGTATTAGGGTCAGAGTGGGAGGTACAGAAGTTGTTGCAATAAATGCAATTATCTTTGTAAATAAACAATACTGAAAAAGAAACAAAGAAAAAGAGATGAAGACACCAAATCTAAGACTTACTCCCTACACTTCACAACACATCTAAACAACTTGAATATTTTCTCCAAAGGAATGTACAAGTAATCACATAATTACATGATTTATTTGGCTCAAATTAAGGGAAACTATCTTTGGATATTCATAAAATGATAAGTACGATGTAGTTTAAACTAGTCCAAAAACCTTCTCTGTTCTTCAAACTTTAAGAAATGAGACCTCTTTCCAGTCCTTTCAGAAATAAAAAGTATAGTGTTCTTAATAAGCTTTACAACTGGTAGGCAGTGACCTATGATAAAATACTGTATTGAAAACTATAATATAATCATAAAGTTAAAATATCAGAAGTCCCTGAGAATAGCTTTTGTAAAAGTAAAAACCAATGTAGTAACAGGATTGTATCTTTACCTGGAAATAACTACATTTATGAATACCTATTTTTCTATTATAAGAGTCAGTAAGATAAATATTGCTCCTACTTAAAGGATAAATTGAATTACATACTATATTTTGCAATATAAACTGCAACACCTGGCATGGCATCCTGGAGAAGAAACAATTTCAAATTTCAATTTCCAAATCAAAGAAGCAACAAATGACAATAGAAAAATTCAATGCTTAAATGATTCTATTTTTCAACGTGCAGAGTTTCAATATAAAATATAAAACATATTCAAAATACATGTTTCTATTACATTATGTGCTACTATTAGAGAACAATAGAAATAAAATTTGATTTTATTTCCAGTATTGGTTGCTTTTATACCTGGACTACTTCTCTGATTTATACAAACTGCAAAACCTATTAGAATTTCTGTTATTGAGCCCTGCTGATCCCAAGAACAAATTGCACAAGCATTCCTACTTTGCTAGTGTAATGAGGCAGAGGTTATGTCTGATCTTTCTCTTCCCCATGAAACCTACCACAGAGGCTTCCACCAAGTAGTCACTTACAAATGAATGATGGACAATTTGTCCTAAGAAAAACACAGACTGACCTAAATAGATTAACTCTTTAAAATGACCTATTTTAGAATCAACATAAAAATCACAGAAATGTACAGCTGAGCTCTCTTAACTACATAAATATGAATTAAAACATATTAAAAAATAAGTATTTCCTATGTTTCTTTCTCAAGTCCTTGTATAAATACATTGCTCTCCTTTATCCAAAAAAATAAAATAATCCTGTAAGTTTTTGTCCACAGGCACTATCTCAAAATACCAATAAGATTTTTTAAAAGAAAGGAAAGAAAACATGGTAAATAGACCAATAAAGAAAAACTTTGTCTGAGGGTATGCAAAAATGACTGAATAAATCTTCAAAATGAAAACTCATTAATCTATATTTTTTGCAAGGCTAGAAATAAAGCCAGCTAAGTTAACTGTAGTTTTTTAAAACTACAGTGTTAAAAATCAGCTTTTATCCAATTAAAAAATGAGAATAAAAGTAAAATCTGTACTTCAGTATTAAAAATAAGAAGTTGAATAGAGAAAACATTGATCAAATCAGTTGTACAAACAGTAATTTCTAAGTAAAAAAAAAAAAAAAAAAAGTACCTTTTGGGGATTATAGATGTTTTGAGTTGTCTCCAAACAGTTCAATCTTAGAGTATGACTCTGTATCAAAATAAAATATGTAAAAATGGGAACACCAACTACACTGTTAGATCTAACTCCAAAAGGAAATCACAAGAAAAAGAACTGAGGAAATAACATAAATGTGTATGAGATACAAACATTCCTTCTGTGTTACACACAAGTCAGATACATCTACCTAATAATAATAACTGAAACAAAATCCTACCTGAAATAACTTTTCCTTTCGGCCCATGCCACTGGAATGATGGGTCTATCAGTTCAGCATTTCGTAGTCGTTGCGTTACACATAACACATGTGGACTTTTTTGATGGAGCATGACATATACTTTCACTGAAAATACAATATTTAAAATGTTCCAGTAGTATTTTATGTTCTTTTTTTTCTCTATAATGCACACTATTTTAGTTTGGTTTACATGCAATAATAAGAGTACTTTGAATTATTGCTCCTATTACTTGATAAAAACTAAATTTCATTGCATTCTATGTAATTAACATTAAAAATATATGTATTTGTATGTATATATGTGTATGCATGTGTGTATGTACATTTATTCCCAACCCGAGCATAATGTGTAAGTCATTTTCATTCAGAGCTCATGTACTCTAACCTGTTTTATTATCAGAATATTATTTCAGTAACAAAGTATTAAGATAATTCTACATCTATACTTTATCTGTTTTCTAAAGACACCAAACATGATTAGAGCTTATAAATTGTTTAGATTAGTGGAATAATGCATTATTCATAATGATATAGTACAACCTACTGAATAAAAATGATAACGTGATTAAAAAGTCAGCAGATTTATGCTTTGATTTTAAATGTTAAAGCATTTTGTTCCATTTGCTTTAAAATTTAAGTCCTGAAACGTAAGCAAAACTAGAACCTTTAGGAGATACAAAAGGAACCCAGTAAAGATTCCACTGTTTTGAATTTACCCACAAGTAATCTTTTAGGAAAGTTTGCAACAACCCTTTAGACACTGCATGCCAACTCTTCTCTGATTAACTGTATACGAAGATTTTTGTGATCCAGTAAAATAAAGAGAATCAAAATTCTCTTTAACTTTTAAGAGACTTCCTCTAACGTTTTACCACAAAGAATAATGTTTGTTGGATATACTTTTAGTTACGTATTCTTCCACAGGTTAAGAAATATCAACTCTGATGTTGGTTATTTGTTTTTAATCATAAACATAAATCAGTACTGAATTTTAAGAAACTTTTTTTATGCGCACTGTGATGATCTTTTTTCTTTTCGAATACTTTAATGAAATGCTTGCATTAATACATTGCCTAACTTCTTTACTAACTCCTTTAATAAATGCTTACCTCATAAATTTTCACTCCTCAGCATGATTTACTGGACCTATTCTCCATGATCTGCCCTTTGCATATATCTCACACCCTCTGCCCTAACCATGCCAGAGCAGCACACAGCATCATTCTTTTCTGATTTTATTGATGTAAATGCCCCCTCATCTTTGGAAACTCGGCATAAGTATATCCTTTGTGCTTTCGCTTGACAGTACCTCATACCATGGCTGTACCCTTCCTCTTGCCCCCACTAATCCCTGTGCATATTTCACAGCAAATGTAAATGAATACAGAAGAGTTTCCAAAAACAAATGATATTCTTCTACATCAACAATAATGCATTAAACCATGTTACAGGAAAGAAGATAATATTTAGAGTACAATAAACAAAAGTTACTCTAAAATCAAACAAGACCTCTGTGAGGAACATCTTTAGACTCTAGCAAAAGACATAAAATTAGACCACAATGCCATAATCAGGATTGCATACACACAACTTTAAAGATGTCCATTTACTCCAAAATTTACTTATTTAAAATCCCAGAAGAAAATTTTTAGGAAGCTCTTGAATACTGATTCTAAAATGCATTTGGAAGGTTAAAGCTTCCTAAATATCTGAAACAATTCTATAACAGAAAAGCAAAGAGGAGGGACTAGCAATAAGAGTTACTGAGATATACTAAAATATACACAAAATAAAAAAAGAGAGGTCTGGTGTAGGAACAAATAATGGGTCTAGGGAAAAAAAAACCAAATTGGTATAAATAACTGATATGTATGTGATAGACGTGGTACCTAAAATCAGTGGAGAAAATATATATCATTAATAAATTATTGTTAAAAGTATCTCAAAATACATGCAAAGTTAAATTTAGATTTACACCTCCTACCATATACAAAAATAAATTCCAAAAATACTGAATACTTGAAGGCAAATCATTATTTAAAGAAAATAATACCTTTATGTCTGAACCAGTTATAGAAAATTACTTTAATGCAAAAAACACAAATATAAAAATACTGAACTCAACTTCTGAAATGGTAACAATTTCTGTTCGATTCTATATAACACAGGCAAAGTTAAATTTGACTGTAGGGAGATGATATTTGCAACAAAGATAATAATGTATTTGTAACTGGAATATAAACAATATGAAAGACAACTTCTTTGAAAACAGCCAAGAAAAGAATAGGCAGAGGCAATTTAATCTTCAGCTTAGCAAAAAATGGACAAAATTGGGTAAAATTTTGTGCTGATAAGGATGTGGGAAAATGGGACCCCCTCAAGCACCACTGAAGGAAGTTTGAACTGGTGCAGCTGTTTTGAAGAGCAATGTTGGTGAGATTGAGAATGCTCAGGTCCTATGATGCTAAAATTTCTACTCCTGGATAACACAGACCCAGAAAACTTCTGATCAAGTACAAAAATCATATACAAAATGGCATTTATTATATACACCAAAAAATGGAATAACTAAAAGTGCAACAAAATGTAAATAAAAGCTCAGTGAATTAATTAATACATGAGTTAATGATTATGGAAAACTAACAACTGAAAAAAATACGCAAAAGGTGAACGAGTTAAAGAGAGGGTCACAAAACTGAAAAACGGCCAACACAGACAGATGCCGAGATCTTATATGACAGAAGAAATTGTAGACAGAAGAAAAATCACGTAGTCGGTATATTACAGGCCAAAACCAATGAAATATCATATAATAATCTACTCTGTAATATAAGAACTACCTAGTGAACTGGAATGTTAATCTATTTTAAGAATAAGTTTAATATTATAGAATAAATGGGAAATTAGTTATCCAGATAATGTTTTATAATTCAGGTTTAAAAGTTGTCATGGGGGAGATCAATAAAAATGGCAAAATAAGGAATTCTAAAAATTATCTCCTTCACAAAAGTAATGAGGAAAAATGTAGAAATTACCAGAATAAATATTTCCAGAACTCAAACTCAAAATTAACCAAATACAGTAATCCAGAAAACATTTATTCAAGAAAAACAACTGGATCTGGTTTATGGGTTGATTGTGTCCTCCCTCTCTTATTAATATGTTGAAGTTGTGATCTCCAGTACCTCAGAATATAAATTTATTTGGAAATAGTTTTTACTGAGGAAGTCAGGTTAAAATGAAGTCATCAGACTGGGTCCAAATACAATATTACTGATGTTCTTATAAAAGGGGGAAACTTGGAAACACAGACAAATACAGAGAAAAGAGAACACAGAGTCGTAGGGAAAAGATGGCAACCTAAAACCCAAAGGCAAATATCTGGAACAGATCCTTTCTTCAAAGCCTTCAGAAGAAACCAACCCTGCCAAGACTTTGATTTTTATTTCTAGCCTCTAGACTATAAGACAATAATTTCTATAATTTAAGCCACGCTGTCTGTGGTTCTTTTGTTACAGCATCCCTCAGGAACTAATACAATCGGTAGGAACAGTGAGTTTGTGGCATCTTTACTTGCCTGATTCCCACGCCTCCTTCCTCAGCTCTGCAGTAAGGAGCCTTGACAATCAGCAGTCTACAATCACAGTGAGAACCAGCGGCCGGCAGCCAATGATGGGGGTAGGCATGGTTAGAATGTCTTCAAAGCCTCCTTCCCAGAGTACTGTCAGTATGTGACCTGTGAGTCAATATCCCAAAAGATCTCACTTTAAAGGCTGTCCATACTTGATCTGACTTGGACTTTGCCTACTGCAAAATGCCTTTCCCCAAAATAACTCGTTACAAACAATTAGAGGCCCTCATTTAACTTTGTGACTGCCTGCTGATATAGTGAGTAACAAATGGGGAAAACAATAGCCTAACCAAAAACCTTAAGAGAAAAAGCTAGGGAATGGCATGTCCACAGGAACTTTGAATTGTTCTGAACATTCCTAAAAAAATACCAGGCCACATGCAGGTAAAGGATTGTGTGCATGCCCAAGATAATCTGTATGCTCAGTAAAGATGAAGAGGCCTTAAGTTCTCATCTTTGGCTGAATTTGAGGTTCTGCAACAGCATAAAGTGAAAGATAAGGTCGAGTGGCCAACTATCTAAAAGGTACGCTACAATATGCACAAAGACAACCTCAGCAAAGTCTAGGACACTAACTGGTTCAAGATGTTTAATGAAAACTCTGTCCAATCAATAGCCTAACTAAGCTAATTAAGCAGAGACTTCAGTGGCTATGTGATAAAGAATATACAACTTAGAGAATTAGTTTAGAAAGTCACTGAACAAATACACAATATCAGCAAACAGCAACAACATCACACCCTGGGAAGTAGAAAGAATCTTATTTTCAGTGTTGCTATGTCATATTATTGTAAATGTCAAGTTTTCAACAAAAAATATGAGACATGCAGAAAACCAAGAAAATATGGCCATATGCATAAAAAAAGGCAGCCCACTGAAACAGACTCCAAGGAAGGCCAAATGTTAGAGGAAGACCAAATATTGGACTTACTGGATAAAGATTTTAAGTTACATATTTTATATTTTATCAAAGAAAACCATGTCTAAAGTAATAAAAATGGATGATATTCCACACAGGAAATATCAGTAAAGATATAAAAATTATTTATTAATAAACTGCAGATTAAAAAGTACAATAACTGAAATGAGAAATTAACTAGAAGAAATCAGTAGCAAACTGAGAAGGCAGAAGAATCAGCACACTTGAAGACAGGTCAACATTGGATTATCCAGTCTGAGAAAAAGAAGAAAAAAAGAATAAAGATCAATAATTCAGAGACCTGTAAAAAACCATCAAGCATATCAGTGTATGCATAATCACAGTCTCAAAAGAGGGAAGAGAGATAAAAATAATTTTTTTGAAATAATGGCAAAAATCTCAAATTTGATTGAAAACATGAATCCACATATCCAAGAATCTCAATTAACTCCAGCTATGATAAACTAAAGGAAATCCATAGCCAGGCACATCATAATCAAACTGACAAAATCCATAAACAGGGAGATAATCTTGAAAGTTGCAAGAAAGAAGCAACTTATCACACACAAGTAACCTTTGATTAATAGTTTATTTCTCATAAAAAAGTCATAATGAAAAGGAAAGTCTGAATAGTCCTAAAAGGAGTGATTAAATTGATAATCAAGAAACCTCCCACAAAGAAAAGTCCAGCAACAAATGAATTCACTGGTGAATTTTACCAAACAATTAACAGAATTAACAACAATCCTTCACAAACTCTTCCAAAAGATAAAGGAGAATGTAATACATACCAACTTGTTCTATGAAACCAGTATTAGCTTAAAACCAAAATCAAAGGCATCACAAGAAATTTACAGATCGATTTTCCTAACAAACATAACCATAAAAAAAATCCTAAAAATACTAGCAACCAATCCAGCAACATAAGAAAGGATTATACACAATAATCAACTGGAATTTATCCCAGGAATGCAAACCAAGTTCAAAATACAAAAATCAATGTGATACATCATATTAAGAGGATAAAGAACAAAAGACACATTATCATCATCATACATATAGAAAAATCATTTAGCAAAATTCAACCCCTTTCACAATAAAAGTACTCGACAAACTAGGAATTAAAGGGAACTCCCTAAAACCCACAGTTAACATCAAACTTAATGTGAAAAACTGATATCAGTTTTAAACAATATCAATGAAAATATGAATTGTGTTTCTAGCAATACGAAAATATCAATTGTGTTTCTATATGCTAGCAATGAACATTCCAAAAACTAACTAAATAAAACCATTCCATTTACAACAGCATTGAAACTAATAAAATATTTGGGAGCAAATTTAACAGAGGAAATGTAACACTTGTACACTGAAAACTACAAAATATAATCAAGGGAAATTAAAGATTAAATAAATGGAAATAATGGAAAGACACCCCAAGTTCATTAACTGGAAGACTTAATATTGTTAAGGTGACAATATGCCTAAAATTGATCTACAGATTCATTGAAATTTCTGTTAAAATCTCAACAGACTGTTTTGCAGGAATTGACAAGTTGATTATAGAATTAATATAGAATTGCAAGGGACCCAGAGAAGACAAAGCAATCTTGAAAAGAACAAATTTGAAGGACTCACACTTACTGATTTGAAAACTTATTATAAGCAACAATAATCAAGATAGCAAAGTATCGGCATAAGAATAGATACATAAATCAATGGTATAGAATTTAAAGTCCAAAAACAAACTCATACATCTGGGGCCAATCGCTTTTCAGTATGTACCAAGCCAATTCAAAAGAGAAAGAATAATCTCTTCAACAAATGGTGATAAAACAACTGGATAGCCATGTGCTAAACAATGAGTTTGACCTCTACCTTGCACCATATGCAAAAATTAACTCAAAATAGATCCGAGGCCTAAATATCAGAGTTAAAACTGCAACACTCTTATAAAGAAACATAGGAATAACACTTTGTGACTAATCATTAGGCAATAATTTCTTAGACATGATACCTGAAGCACCTGCACCAAACAAAAAATAGAAATTAGACTTCTTTATCGAAGTTTAAAACATAGGCTTCAAGGAACACACAAAGAAACTGAAAACACAATCCACAGAATGGGAAAAATATTTGCAAATCATATATCTGATATAAAGAATATATAAAGAACTTTACAATTCAACAACAAAACAAAAACCACCCAATTTTTTAATTTATTTTTGAGATGGAGTCTCGCTCTGTCACCCAGGCTGCAGTACAATGGCGTGATCTCGGCTCACTGCAGTCTCCACCTCCCAACTTCAAGTGATTCTCCTGCCTTCAACCTCCCAAGTAGCTGGGATTACAGGTGCACATCACCACACCCAACTAATTTTTTGTACTTTTAGTAGAAACAGGGTTTCACCATGTTGGTCAGGCTGGTCTCAAACTCCTGACTTTGTGATCTGCCTGCCTCCATCTCCCAAAGTGCTGGGACTACAGGCATGAGCCACCACACCCAGCTGAAAACCACCCAATTTAAAAATGCGCAAAGGACTTGAATAGGCATTTCTGCAAATGACATATCTATACAGTCACAAAACACATGAAGGGTTACAACATCATTAGTCATTAGAGAAATGCAAATCAAAATCACAATGATACCAGTTTACACATACTAAGATAGCTATAAAAAAAGAAGATGAACAACAATAACGATGTTTAGTATTTGGAAAATTTGAACTCTTATACATTGCTGGTGTGAAAGTAAAATAACTCAGGTTTTTAAAAAAATAGTTTGGCAACTCCTCAAAATATTAAACATAGAGTTACCATATGTCCCATATGTACTGTTAGGTAAAGAAATGAATACTATTACACCCTGAAAAGGAATGAAGTATTGATGTACTCTATAATATGGCTGAACCTCAAAAACATTATACTAAATGAAAGACAGACACAAAAGGGCACATTGTATATGATTCCATTTATATGAAATTTCCAGAAGAGGCAAACCTATAGAGACAGAAAGGAGATCAGTGATTTCCAGGACTGAAGAATGATTGCATAATGGATTAGGTCTTTCTTTTTGGGGTGATGAAAATGTTGTAAAATTAGATAGGGGTAATAGTTGCCCAATCTTGTCAATATACTAAAAGCAACTGAATCGTACACTTAAAAGGAAGAATTTTATGGCATGTGAATTTGCCACAACTTTAAAAAACACCAAAACAAGTTGTAGTTGCTATATTTCATGTGACGACTGCAAATCTTTGAATCCAAAATATGTATGATTTGTATTACCATATTTGTACTACATATATTTAATATTACAGCTAATTATTATATAATAAAAATCCAGTACAGGCAACTTTAGATAACTTTTAGAAATAATTATTATTGGTACACTTAAGCAGTTATAGCAAAAAGTATTATAACTGGATGAGTCTAGCCATATGCAAACAACTTTAATCTACTTCTGCAGAAAGAAAAGGGCCTTAGGAGACTAGGATAACTGAAGAACATTAGCCTTTTGGACAACTCTGATAACATTTAAACAAATGCTAATAACTTTTTTTAAATTAGTGAAAATATATTTATGAATACCTGGGAAATTTGTTGATCCCACTATTTTCACTGAATCTTTGGTCAAGCGAAAGCTTCTCGGTAATCGAACCAAATACCCAACTATCAAAAAAAAGATCAACAATTTGTCTCATTAGATATTCAAAAATATTCAAGTACAGTATCACAATATCTTTCGTCTTAGTTGAAGGGGAGAGCCATAATTCAGTCTCCTCTGACAGTTGTTATCACTATTCCAACTCTATTCCCCTGATACTATCCGATAAAATTAATCTACCTATTGCTTCTCCCTACATCTTACCTCTTTTTCTAAATCCACTTAGAATACTCTCTACATTATTAAAAGTTCAAATCTCCCATCATTCAAGACCCAAATTACAAGTCCCTTCTCCTTGAAACCTCCTATTTATCCTTAGCACTTCTTACCTGCCACAGTACACCACCAGCATCTTTTTAAATAACATTCATTCTACATTGCACTATAGTACAATAGTTCTTTTTTTAAAATTTCCATAGGTTTGCCAGAACAGGTGGTATTTGGTTATATAAATTCGTTAGTGAGGATTTTTGAGATTTGGTGCACCCATCACATAATAAACATTAAACCCAATTTGTAGCCTTTTATCCCTCACCCACTTTCCACCATTTTCCCCACACCCAAGGCCCCAAAGACCATTGTATCATTCTTATGCCTTTGCATCCTCATAGCTTAGTTCCCACTTGTAAATGAGAATATATGATGCTTGGTTTTCCATTCCTGATTTACTTCACTTAGAATAATAGTCTCAAATCCCATCCAGGTGGCTACAAGTGCCATTAATTCACTCCTTTTTATAGTTGAGTAGTATTCCATCATATATATATATATATATATACACACACACACACACACACACACATACATACATACACCACAGTTTCTTTATCCACTTGTTGATTGATGTGCATTTGGGCTGGTTCCATGTTTTTGCAATTGCGAATTCTGCCACTATAAATGTGTGTGCATGTATCCTTTTCATATAATGACTTATTTTCCTATGGGTAGATACCCAATGGTTGGATTGCTGGATCCAGTGGCAGTTCTACTTTCAGTTCTTTAAAGACTCTCCACGATTTTCCATAGTGGTTGTACTAGTTTACATTCCTACTAGCAGTGTATAAGTGTTCCCGTTTCACTGCATCCACACCAACATCTTTTTTTTTATTATTATTTTGGCCATTCTTGCAGGAGTGAGGTGATATCACATCGTGGTTTTGATTTGCATTCCCCTGATAATTAGTGATGTTGAGCATTTTGTCATATGATTCTTGGCAATTTGTATATCTTCTTTTGAGAATTGTCTATTCATGTCCTTAGCCCATTTTTTATGGGATTGTTTGTTTTTCTTGCTAATTTGTTTGAGCTCCTTGTAGATTCTGGATGTTAGTCCTTCATTAGATGTAAAGATGGTGAAGATTTTCTCCCATTCTGTGGGTTGTCTATACTGTGACAGTTCCTTTTGCATTGCAAAGCTCTTTAGTTTAATTAAGTCCAACCTATTTGTCTTTGTTTTTGTTGCATTTGCTTTGCATTCTTGGTCATGAAATCTTTGCCTAAATGAGTTGGTTAATAGGAAAGCCACATACTGAAGAATGAAACTGGATCCTCATCTTTCATCTCATATAAAAATAAACTCAAGATGGATCAAGGGCTTAAATCTAAGACCCGAAACTATAAAAATTCTAGAAGATAACATCAGAAAAACCCTTCTAGACACTGGCTTACATTTTACCGTAACTCCTGATGCACACATATCATTTTCCTTATCAGATTATATGCTCCAATGATAGCGGGATCAATGTTTATGTTAACTTATCAAGAATCAGTATCAAATACTATAACTTGCACATAGTAAACGTTAAATACTGTGAAATTTATTTTGATAGTCTTCATTGCTACATGAGCAAATGTGATGGGCATAATGCTGTGAGGGGCAGCATAAAAATGCAATTAAGCATTATACCCAAATAGCCTTCAGCAGACAGGAATAGTAAAGTGCAAAGAAAAGGATGTGGTATTCAAAGCCAGAGGACGTGAGTTTAAATCCTAATACTGCCACTTACTGGTTTTAGGAAAATCACTTTAAACTCCAGGAGCTTTAGTTTTCTCATATGCAAAATGGAACTAATAATAATTCTATCCTTATAGCTACTGTACAAAATGAGAATACTGTACAAAATGAGGATACTGTATGAATTGTAAAATGCTATATAAGAGGCCTTCACTTTTCATCACTTATGTATTAAGATACTAACTGCTTATACTATTTCTTATACCTCATAGGTCTAATCTCATTATTGAATCAAAAGATCGCCAAGTAAATTTTTAAAATAAAAACACACCTTTTCACACCTACTACACGACCATGAATAATATCCAAGGAGCATCTTTCTCCTACATGGCAATTGATAGCTATCGGCTATTCAGATACTCTTTGGATTCCTGATGCCTGGACTTTGATCTTTAAATCTCTAGTCGCTTCATTTATTTCCTCTCTCCTCCCGCATCCCCTGCCTACCCCCACATTCCTTTTACATTTATATTCTCGGAGGACTTCTTTTTATCATTATTCCTTATTTGAACAACTTTGTTCAATTGAAGCAAATCTCTGTGATTTTATCAATTCTGGGAGATATTTTGTTTTATGAGTCTAGAATTTGAACACAAAATAATGCAGCCAAAAACCTTTCTAGTTAAGTAACAGCTCAATTAAACCTTCACTTCCTTCTTCAGTGTTTGCTCATAGTACTTTAAAGGTATTTTTAAAACAGTATAGGAAAGTATTTCAATTCTTCAGTGGTCATTTTAAAATCGGAGTATTTCCTACATTTTACAGCTAAAACCAACAGATGGTGCTCCACCATCACGGATAAATTCAAAGCAGCAGGTTGCCTACTCACTTTGAAATACGCTGAACACATCATTACAGAGTTCACACACTGAAATGCAAACCTGGCAGATGACCCATGGACTAATCAGGGAGTTTATTAACAAAGCAGTTTAATTTGAAAACCTCAACTGTGGGTGATGCAGTCATCTAGCTATACATTAATTTCCCGTCATTCACTTCTCTATGCAAATAGAGTGTCTCTGAACGACTTCTATACAAAACAAACTTTCCTTGTCTCGTTTAGTGAGCAAGGTGTCTCTATATAAACCGGATGCACGTGACACAAGAAAAGGCAAATTCGAAGAGTGAGGGGAGCTGCGGCTGTCCCTGCGGAGCAGGCCGGGCGGCGCGGACCCTCACCTGATGCGGGCACCCGCACGAGGAAGGCGGAAAGAAAGAGGAGGACGGCGGCCCGAGAGAGCGGGGAGCCAGCGGCCCGGGTCCGCCGCCTGCCCCGCCGCGCCCGGCCGGGTACCGAGGCCTCCATCCACACGCCGCCGTCGCCTGCCCACAGTCCGCGCCTAAGGTCGCTAGGCAACGCGGGCCCACCTCCACCGGAAGTTGGCGAGCGGAGTACCGGAACGACGGACCTGATGGACGTACTCCCACTTCCGCCGGGCGGTAGGCTCGGGGGATGGCTTGTGTCTCCGCTTGCCGGGCCTTCACTTGCCTGCTGTGCTGAGCGTACCCCGGGCCTTCAGGACAACATTGGCACGCAGGGCATCCTCAAGAACATAAGCGATTTTGTCGAAAATCGTAGAGCTGAGAGAGCAATGTTGGATCCCAACGCCTGTGCCTTTACTTTTGTGTAGCATTTGTGATCAGAAGGAAGCTCTTTTTATATGCCAGGTGGTAGATGTGGGGCCCAGTTTCGGAGAACAGATAGGGAAAATGTATGAGTTCAGACGTGTACAGCCCTAGTGGGTTGCTTTGATCTAGTAATGTCATCGGCTAGTATTTTATGGATGTGTGGAACTTAATTGGGAAATAAATGCAATACACACTTAGTAGGAATTAAAGGTAAGGCCTTTAGACTAAGAAAGTAGCTTGATGGAAGAATGAGGAAACGACCACAGATAAAATTTACTTTCTAAAATACTCAGACTGGAAGATCATCTTATAGTATCACCTAAATACAGCAAAATATACAAAACCATCTATCCTGTGGGGGAGACCAGAATGTACCTTCTCCCGTATGAAGGATTGCTGCGCTGAAGACAAGAAGCAGCAGATGCAGGAGAGCTGTCTACCTTGCCTCTTTTTACCTAGAAGCAAGACATAGATTTAGAAAGACAAAAGTTATCCTGCCCTGCTTCTTTATCAGGGAAAACAAAGGTTAACCACTGAAGACAGCTTCAGACCCTCAATAGCCATGAAATGATATCAGAGGAATTAATAATAACTTTTTTTTTCTTTGAAACGGAGTCTCGCTTTGTTGCCCAGACTATAGTTCAGAGGCACAATTTCGGCTCACTGCAACCTCTGCCTCCCGGGTTCAAGTGATTCTCTGCCTCAGTCTCCGGAGTAGTTGGGATTACAGGTGCCCACCACCACGCTCAGTTAATTTTTGTATTTTTAGTAGAGACGGGGTTTCACCATCTTGGCCAGGCTGGTCTTGAACTCCTAACCTCATGATCTACCCACCTTGGCCTTACAAAATGCTAGGATTACAGGCGTGAGCCATTGCGCCCAGCCAACTTTTTTTTTGCCTGTGATTTCTTTGCTTAGTCCAAGTTGCTGCCTGTAGAGACTCAAAGTCCTTTTCCTTTCTCACATCTCTAAAAATTTCCTAGTCTTTGTTGAAGATGCTATACAAGCCGGAATTCAAGGACATTTCTTTGAGAACTTCTCATTCTCTGGGTGTTCCTCATATATAAATGAAATATATTAATAAGCTTACGTTTTTCTCTTGTTAATCAGTCTCTCGTAAAGGATCTATTCTAAGTACAAACTTATGGGGATTATTATTGTCCCATACACAACCTAAGAGGCCATTTATAGCAAAAATTTGTTTTAGAGGAATTGAAAGAGACACCTGCCTCTGTTTTTCTGCTGCTGGAGGGATTTACTTAATGAGCTTAATGGGAGCAGAGCTGTGATAGAAATAAATCTTAAGCAGTTGGTGCAAATACATTGAAGAATGAAGTTTGTGCAACTAAATATAGAATGCTTAATTACAAATGAGTTATCACTTTTGATATGAAGAAATGAGTTATAATGGGTGAACTAAAAACTGTCACTTGATATGCTGTGATCTGGATGAGGGATTTCAAACTGACAGGCTAACCATCTAATTTAATCTCCTCACTTGTTTAATAGTATATCTCAAAATTTTAAAGACTTTCAGTGGGGTATAGGCATTCTGATGATACCAAAGATATCACCACCCTTGACAGTTGGCCTGATTAACAATTAAGTGCCTGACTCTTCAAAGCTAGAATCTTGCCTCTTTTAACATATTCACTGCAATAAGGATGATGTGACCTTTTACCCCAAATTCTAATATTCAGGTTTCCCCTAATAGAAGCTCATTCAAGATGAAATTATCCAGGTAAACGAGCTTTTAAGTGAACCAGTGTATTAGGTGATTTAAATGATATTTTGTGTGTAGACAGCTGATACCCTATTGTGGTTCCCTAAAATGAGTTTAAAACACTTACTATTCTTACTCTGGACACCATGGTAAATTTAAGGGAAGTAAAGGTAATTTAGGGCATGTAAAAGATGTACCTGTACTTTCACTATAATTTTCTGTTCCTCTTAAAAATTAGATATATCAATTTGACTTTAGTGTAATACATGTTTATATTGTACAGTGCATTTAGATTTACATTTATTTAGACAGCAAGGGTTATATCTATAAATACTTAATTGTAGTCACATATATACTTTTGGAAAATATATTGTCACTGAATTCTCTGCTTTATTTACACTCCTTAAATTTTATATCCATAAAATACTAACTTATGGAAAATTTTTAAAATAAGTGAACACAGCTTTCCTGAGCACTGGGGAGAAAAGTATCATGGAAGTATTAGTGCCAAGGCTATTTTTGTTTTCTTACAAATTAAATTATGATGTACATAATAAATGGTTCAATGTGTTAAGAGTTCTAGTTGTTGCCAAGCAACAAGGACTCTGCTTTTTTCTCCTTCTGTCCTGTTCCTTCATTGCCCTATTCTTCCTTTGGTGGAGGAAAAGGTTTTCTTTAAAAAGGAAAACAAAATTATCTGCTAACATTTAGAAAGCTGAGTCAATTTTGTACTAGTTTAACTCAGATCTTTAGTTATTGGAAATAGAGTTTGTATAGTTAAAAGAATTATCAGAAATACTTACTTTATAGTAACCAAAAACTCTAAAGAGAAAGGCCATGGATGTAGAGATTCAGAACACACCTGGAAAGATAAGTATCTCTAAAAGGTCCATCCTTTCAGGAACTGTTGAGAATATAGATTACCCACACTATTGTGATCTCTTAAGAAAAATGAACATGCCTTTTGTGAAAGGTCTTGAGAACAGACATAACTATGGCAGATTTGAAAATAAATGCAACCCTGCTTTTCTTAAATTTCACCCTTATCCCCCTTCAGTCTTGCCAGACTATCATTTACATTACCCTTATCCTCCACCATATGGGCCACGTTATCCATTATTTCCACTTCGGGATGATGTGACCTTAGGTGATTCCTGTTCAGGGTTTATGAGTCCTGGTGGTGATGCTGATTTAAATCCTGGCATTGGCAGAACCATACCAACCCTAGTGGATTTTAGTGATGTGAAACCTCAACATCGAGTTCCCAGACCAGATACAGGATTTCAAACAACAATAAAAAGGCAAAAAATTCTATCAGAAGAACTGCAACAGAACAGGAGATGGAATTCCAGAGAAGCACCAGACATTTCTATCAGAGCAAGACTTGGAGGTAAATGAAGTGACATGAATTTTATGTGTTTCAAATACTCGAAGGAAGAGAGCATGGACATAAGAGTCAGTATGTAGGCAGTTAAATGAACAAGATTACAATGATCTGAAAAAGGTTTTCTTTTTAAATTACAGATTGTAAGAAACAAAGGAATAATAAACCTTATAACCTTATTTGTAAAACAAAATTTTTTCTTAAAAAAAATCATTCATTAATTAAGTGATCAACACAAAGTATATAACATTACTTATTCTAGATATATGGATAATCTTCTTTGACCACAGGGGAATTTATGTATCACTTTGATAATTGTATAGAAATCCTCCGTATCTGTCTCTCTCCCTTGAAAGAATTAATTCACTGATTATGAAACTGTTAGTTTTAAGGGCTGAAATAAAATGTGAAAATTTTAAGTATTTGAAAGTAAATCTTTTTACTCCAATAAGAACAGAAGCTGAAATGAAGGAAACGCTGAATAAATAGCTCCACAGCCATGGAGGCAGGATCGATGACCCCTTACCAACATCTGCACCATGTGGTTTCTCTGTAAGAACTCCTCTAAATGGTCACAGGCCTGGCCCCAAAAATGATGAGAAACACCTCCAAAGGAAAGCCATAGGTACTATTTCCTGTATAAAAGCTGCCTGGCAGGCAGGAATGTAAAGAGATCAACATGTTTTAGCTTGTGAAAAGCAAAAGGCCAAATACTATAGGAAGACTTTTAAAGCTTATTCCACAAAAATATAGGTTGAAGAAATGGTTTAGTAAAGCTAATACAGGGCTAAAATGGTGTTAACGGACTGCACCAACAAGTCAGAACCAAGTATAGAGCTCATCTGTCCCAAGTATTTGACTGCCTGAATCAGTAAAACAGAGGAATTCAGAGAACAAGCACTTGACTCAGAATGTCTGGGCTTGAACTCTAGCAAAAGCTCAGTTGCTATATGACCCAGGACTAGTTACTGCTCTCTTTATGCCCGTGTATCCTTACTTGTAAAACTCACCTAATAGTAATAAATCATAATATAATAGTAAGGGCCATTTGATGTAATTAATGTAAAAATACCTAAAATAAAGAATGTCAGATTGTAACAAGTCTAAAATTTTCAGTTTCTTCATACATAAATTGGAAATAAATAGTACTTCCTTTATACACTTGTAAGAATCAAATGAATTAAGACTTGTAAAGTGCTTAGCAAAATCTCTGGAACCTGATAAAACATTTCATTAATAGTAGCTATTATTATTAGCTATTAAGAGCTTCAAAAAGTAATACCTGCAATTTGGGGACAGAGTTCAATATAATTTGTCCTAGACTTTCAATGACTTTGTATATCCTGGAAACAATCATTAATTGAAAATGATAGATACTTTCAGGTTTTAGCAAACCTAAATACACATTATTTCTAATGCATTCTCATAAAGAACAACATCTCAGGATTAATTAAATCACACACTCATATGCTCTTCAGTGGACTTTCACAAATATCAAAGAAAGATCATAAAATATTATATTGCTGATTTCTTCTCACCCCATTCCAAACTTGTCTAGACCTTTTACTGGGTTTAACACTTCCTTTCTCGATCCAGTTGCCTTTCTTTATCATCTACCAATTAACTAATCTAAAGTTATTCTAATTATATTCAAATCCTTTAGAGAACTCTGCCTCTCATTGCGGTAGATGATCCAGCCTTTCTTATCACAGAAGAAATAGATCTTGCCTCTTGTTGCTCTCTTGATTTTTCTCCACTTTAGCCTCCTGATATCAATATTAATATCACTTTATATGTCTTTCTATTTTTTAAACCACTGTGTTAAGTCAGACTGCTATAACAAAATAGTAAAGACTGGGTGGCTGAAAAAACAAATATTTGTTTCTCACAGTTCGGGAGGCTGGGAAGCCAAAAATCAAGGAATCAGTATATTTGGTTGCTGGTGAAGACCTTCTTTCTAGCTTATAGAAGTCTTCCTTCTCCCTGAGTTCTGAAATAGACAGAGTGAAAGAGACAGAGAGAGAGAAAAATTGAGAGAGAGAGAGCTCTAGTATCTCTTCCTCTACTTAAAGGAACACTAATGCCATCATGGAGGTCTTACCTTCTTTGGCTCATCTAAAGCTAATTATCTCCCAAAGGCTTCACCTCCAAATAACATCACATTGGGAGTTAGGCTTCAACGTACCTGAATGTGAGGGGCTGTGGGGTGGGGTACAGACATTCACCAGAACTATCTTTATAGTTAATTAGTATGAAGTAGTATATTCACCTTGTGCAAACATCACCACCATCCATCTCCAGGATTCACTTCATCTTGCAAAACTGAAACTCTTTACCCATTAAACAACCCCCTATTTCCCTCATTCCCATAACTCCTGGCAACAGCCATTATATCTTCTGTTATCTATGAATTTGACTACTTTAGGTTCCTCACTTAAGTGAAATCATATAATATTTGTCTTTAGCGATTGGCTTATTTCACTTACAATAATGTCCTCCAGGTTCACCCATGTTGTAGCATATGAACAAAATTTCTGTGTATTAGGTCTATTTGGTCTATATGTTATTCAAGTTCTCTGTTTCCTTATTGATCTTCTGTCTTGATGTTCTATTCATTATTAGAAGTGAGGTACTAAAATATCTACCTACTATTATGTATTGCTATCTCTTCATTTCTGATTCTCTTGACCCTGGTGAGCATTTTTGTGACAGTTCTCTGTTGGGTACATTTTTTAACTCTATTTTATTAGAATAGGTTTCTGAAGATCTATCTTCTTCCTTTTTTGGAAAACCTTTGCCTGATTCTTCATTTTCCTTAACTCTCTGTGTAGGTTTCTGCACATTAGACAAAGCAGGCACTTCTTCCATTTTTCATGAACTGGTCTTGTAAAGAAGACCTTAATCCATCAGCCTGGCCAGAGATTTCGGAACCTCTGCCAACTCTTTTCCTTCCCAAGGGAATCTGACAGATGGGATTTTGTTCACTTGCTCTATGCTGAGCAGGGGGTGAGCTATGGTGTCTACTAGCCCAAACCCCCATTTTCATTATCCTGTAGGCAACTAGACTGTGCTAGATTCATCAGAGTTTCATGACTGATAAGACAGATGCTGTTTTGAGGGGCAGCCCCAGAAAAGCTGGAGTCTGGCTCAACTCTTGGATCTATGGTGACTATCTCTAGATCTAGATCTGTGGCATCTATAAGCCAAGGCTGCTTTCTCTGTCTTCCCCCAGGGAGGTAAACTATGTTGGACTCATTAGAGTTCCAGGACTGGTGAGATAAATGCTAGTTCTTTAGACAAATACAGAGTTGGAGTACTGGACACATGGATGAATCAACTTTTTCTAGGGGGCTGAGAGTGAGGATTTTAAAAAATCTGCTTACTCTGTGCTGAGCATATAGGAGAATCTGTGCTATCAACCAGTCCAGAATGCAATCTCTATTTGCTCTTGGGTCATTCGATTGTGCTAGACCCCTCTCAGGGCTCCAGGACTGGCAAGACAGAAGCCAGTCCTCTGGGGAGCCCCCTTGGAAAAGCTGGGGTGCTAAACATGGGAATCAATCAAGAGGAGTAAACCCTGAGTGAATCTGGGAGCTAGGAAATCTCTTCCTGATTGTCTGCACTGCACCAGCGGGAGGGAATCTGCAAGAGGGTGACTCACTCAAATCTTTTTATTAGCTTCAGTAAGTCTGTTTTGCATTCTTTCAAGGTGCAGGAGCCTATCACTTAGTTTCTGTATTTCTCACAAAGGTAATGTGTTCATGAATCATTGCTAAATCAGTTTGTTAATTGGGGAGAGGATGTTCAGAGTTTCCTACTCTACCATCTTGCTAAGGTCATTCTCCATAAATGTTGTTGTTTTAATTTTCATTTTTCTCAAGATAATTTCCCATTTCCTTTGGGATTTCTTCCTTGATCCTTTGGTTGTTTCATGGCATCATGTTTAATTTCTATATATTTGTTAATTTTCCAGTTTCCCTTCTTTTGTTGATTTTTAGTTTTATTTTGACTAGAAAAGACACTGCATGATTTTAACCCTTTAAAATTTATGAAGAAGTGTTTTGTGGCCTAAAATATAATCTATTCTAGAGAATATTCCGTGTGTACTTGAGAAGATGTATATTCTGCTGTTGTTGGGTGAATTGTTCTGTTAGGCCAAATTGTTTTATAGTGTTGTTCAAGTTCTCTATTTCTTTATAGATCTTTGTCTGATCATTTTTTTATTGAAAGTGGATCCAACAATTATTGTAGCACTGCCTACTTTTCTCTTCAATGGTGTCAATGTTTATTTCATGTATTTTGAAGCTCTGATATTTGGTGCATATAATTAAAATAGAGAATAGAAAAACATCATGTACAAGCAACTAAACCTAAATTTGTCCTTTTAAAAATCAACAAAAAATGATCTACTTAAGTTATATTAAGAAAGATAACTCGAGTAAGACCATTAACAAAGGGCATTTTCAGTGTTATGAAAACCTCTCTATAACCAGCAGATGATAGAAAATACGTGGATAAGAAGACAAAATACATAGAGTGGCCTTTGATTTTTTTCTCCTATATTACAGTTTTCACATTCCTTAAAAGCACAATATTATGGTGTTTTGTAATACAAATAACAGGGCCTATGGGAAAATAGGGTTCATGGCAGACCCCCTCAAACTCGTACCATTTTATAGGTTACACATGAATCCTTCCCACAATAAAAATATGATCATGGTTTCAAACACTTTAAATTCCTAAGAAGTAAGGAAAATACTATACAGTGCTTTCCTTGACAGAAGACTTGACATTTGCTTTGTGGTATGAAAGTGATGAAGTGGGATGGTGAGTTATGAAGAAGAGATGAATGGCTGCTTGTCCAAAAGTGTGTGTTTTTCACACTGTTCCTGTGTGTGTCTGCCACTCTCACCAGGAAACTAGGTCTGTTTACTTCCCACATTGACATCGGGCCTGGACATTTAACTGGTTTGGGCCAATTATATGTTAGTAAGCATTGTGCAAATGGAGACTTGATAAGTACTTGCACATTGGGATTAGCTCTCTTCAGAGTCTTCTCTGGGATCTCAGTCACTATCCCTTGAAAGACCAACCTATGCTCACAGAAACAAATACAAGACAGTTGCCAGTATGCCCACATAAGACCCCAGCTAATATTCAATACCAACTTGCCAGCCATGTGAGTGAAGCCATTTTTCAACCTCTGCAGCTATTAAAGCTGACACCATGTGAAGAAGAATCACCCCCAACTATCTTCTGAATTCTGGGAGAGAATAAATGGTTGAGTTAAGCCACTAGGTTTTAGGGGTGTTTGTTTTGCAAATAGTTGATACTGAAACAGAGGAAAGGATACCTTCACACTGAGACTGAAATTTGATGACCCACTCTGAGGTTTAATTCATCGTCCAGAGTCCTTTCTTCTAGTCTGGCTTAATATTATAATTCAACTTTTATTGTTTTCCTAATTTTCTCCTTTGTCAAAGCAGTTGTTTGAATGGCTCCAAATAAAATAGATACCACAAAATGCCGTCCTGTTGCTTTTGGCATGAGAGATTCTAGAGAATTTCCTTTGTCCAGCTGTGTCACAGACAGAATTATCCTCATGGTTCTCAAAACTGAAATGATAATGGGATTCAGCCTTCCATTTCTCCCTTTGCTTAGGCCTCTCACTTGTGCCTGTATTCGTTTTCTCTTGCTGCTGTAACAAATTGACACAAACTTAGCAGCTTAAAGTGAAACCATTAATCACAGTTTTGTGGATCAGAAGTTGGGAATGTCATCTGGCTCTTCTGTTTAGAATCTATGACAATAATAATCATGCCAAAATCAGCCAGGTGTGGTGGCTCATGCCTATAATCCCAGCACTTTGGGAGGCTGAGGCGGGCGGATTATCTAAGGTTGGGAGTTCAAGATCAGCCTGGCCAACATGATGAAACCCTGTCTTCTACTAAAATTACAAAAATTAGCCAGGTATGGTGGTACGCACTTGCAATCCCAACTACTTGGGAAGCTGAGGCAGGAGAACTGCTTGAACCCAGGAGGTGGAGGTTGAAGTGAGCTGAGATCATGCCACTGCACTCCAGCATGGGCAACAGAGTGAGCCTGCATCTCAAAAATAAATAAATAAAGCCCAAATCAAGGTGTTATGTTGGTTCTTACCTAGAGGGTCTGGAGAAAAATCAACCTCCAGGCTCATTCAGATTGTTGCAGAACCCAGTTTCTTCTAACTAAAGTGTTTGTTTCCTCATTCACTGTCAGCGGGGGGACACTGTCTGCTCCTAGAGGCTACCCACATCCTTCTCATGTGATTGCCTCAAGCTTCAAAATCAGCAACAGTGCGGAGAGGTCGGCTGACGCTCTACTCTCTAACTGCCCCTTCTAAACCCACAGACTAGCCAGCATCCACTTGTTCTCTATTTCTCCTTTGCAAATCCCTATTGCAGATTCTTTCCTGAGTTTCTCAAATATTGGCTGAATTGTCATCATCAATCATCATCATTATCATCATCATGAAGTGATATTACTACATTAGCACTAAATGATATTACAGCTATTAATTGTTAATTTTAAACAGGAGCATTTAAACCATACGCCATAATTTGCTTATTTCTTTGTATGTATTAATTATAGTCTTTATAACCCTGACAATAGTCAATAAAGATGAGGAAAATGAGGCTCAGATGGGTCAAATAACTCACGAAGGTCACTCTGGAACCCAAAGAGAGTAAGTATATGCATTATATATATTATATGCCATCTATCAAATAATATATATAATTATACATATGATATAATGTATATAATATTAAATAGATGACATCTGTGATAGCGCTCCACCTGAGTGGCATCCACAGATAGCCATGGAGCGCCTGTCCTGCCCTAAGCACCTCTCAAAATGCATCTCTCTCATGCTTCAACATCTCTGTATTGTCCATCCTGATCACAAATTTTAACTTTTAAATTTACATTTTGCCAAGTTGGATTAATTCATGGAACAAAACTATGAAATAGTGAGCCAAGTCAGAAGCCCCATGGGTTAGCAGAAATGATCTCTATGGAAACTACCAGAGACACTGCAATTATCTTCACCTATGCTAGTCACCTGCCCTAATCAAAGTAATCAATCTCTCTTATTAAAACTCTTCAAGGGCAATTCATCTGCAGGTTATGTCCGAGGCTTTCATGCCCTGAACTTAGACTATTTCTCTTCCTTATCTTCTACCATTTCCTATCTAACATTTTACAATCTGCTATATGTAACTTTTTTTTTTTTAATACACGTTAAGATGCTCTTACAGGCCTACCATTGCACATATTGTTTCTCTTCCTGGAATAACTACCCTTTCTCTACTTCTCTTTTCTTCTAAGTTCTACTTAATTGTCAAGATTAGATCAGGTGTCATCTTCAGGGAGATGTCCCTAAGGCCTGACAACCTGGTTGAACTAGGTATTCTTAGGTGTCCTTCCCATGCGCCTGCACAGCACTCTGAGCTCAGCTATTGTTGTATTGCCACACTGTGTTGAAATTAGCTACTATGTTTCTACTTTCCATTTGCTCACAGGCACCTCAAAACCCTCTTTATATAAAGATGAAAAATATACACCCATTGGCTTCCAGTTACAGTGTACTAAATATTTTTGAAGGCTGCTTTTTATATTTGCTAGATTTTAGAACTTCTAATCACTATGTGAATTATAGTGATAATAATTCATGAGTCTGCATAATAACCAGACTCACCTTGTGTCACCACCATCCCCAACATGTCCATGTGCACAGACACAGATATCTAGTACCCAATAGGTATCTTCCAATAATAAGTAAGAAATAGTAAGTGATTCTGCACTATTATAACTAGCCTCTTACAGAAATTCCACAGCTATTCTGTTCTCACAGCTAAAAGTTCCAGAAAAGTTATTAAATAATCCGTTAAAAAATGAATTACGATCACACAGTCTAGCTTCTAATAGTAAACATTTCTGTTGAAAAAGCACTGTTATTGTGTTTTTAACCAAAATCACATTCCCTTTTTTGTGTTTTCAGGTTGGACAAGCCCACTGAAAGTTACCCCTTTACAACCTCAACATGAAGGACGCTCATTAAGACACATGTTTACATTTGATGAGGAGGCAACATGTACAGTAAGATTTTCTTGCTGGGTGGTATTATACAACATATATAATTAGGTTATTTCATTGTTTGGGTGTTCGCTATTGTATACCCTAGATGAATAGCTGCTATGTATATAGTGCTTCTTATATTCCAGGCACTGTGCAGCCCTTTACAGTCAATGTCTACTGTGCATTACCTTGCATTACTCCTACAGTACCATCGGGGAGGAGGAGTGAGTAGTAGATGCAGCTGGTGCCCATCACAGACTCCCTTCACTGGCTAGTGTGTCTATTCCCAGAAGCAATGAGTGACGGTCACTAAAAGGCTAACAGCCAACATACTGGAGGACCGTCTCATGCTGTCTCTTTCAGTTTTGGCCAGTGACTGGCTGACTTCTTAGGGCAACAGACTAATGCTACTCTCCAGCTGAGGCTGCATTCTCACTAGCTTCTTTTCCTTCTCCTATTCTACTGTCTTCTTAACAAGTAGTGCTGTTATTCTCATATTATTTATTTGAGAAAACAGAAGCCCAATAATGTTAAGTAACTGACTTTTGATCAGACAGATAATAAATATCAACCAAAATTTAAACCTAAATATTTTTTAGAATCTAAGGATTATGTTCTTAATCATCTTCCTATGTAGATTTTATAGTCTCTAAATCCTTGGCATTTAAATTAAGATACTTAAAGAATCCTAAGACATACACAGATATGAAAATATTTTTTAAACAGCTTTATTGAGATATATGTCATGCATCACAAAATACAACCCTTTAAAATGTGTAATTCAACGTTTTTAGAACATTCACAGAGTTGTGCAACCACCCCCACAATCTAATTTTAGATTTTTATTACTTAAAAAAAACTCATATTCATTAGCAGTAAAGATATGAATACATTGTAATGAATCAATTTCCATTTCTGTAACTCCTATATATATTTCTTCTAAAATAGATCTGCTTGAGAATTTACCCTCAGAGTGCCACGTTGATTTCTTCTTTTCTCACCTTTTCCTTCACAATAACCCTTTCCAGTTTTTCACAAAGGGAAATGGGGCATATCTCTCACATATTAACAGCTGTGTTACAGTACATGGCCATGAAACAAAGAGCACGGAACAGGAAGGTCATTTAAAGAATGTGTTCTCAATGCCTCCTTTACTCAAGATGCCATGCACACAGGGTAGAACTTTATGTTTTTCTTTGTCCTACGCATTTTTCTTTTAAAAGAAAATTATGGCATTAGAAATAGGGGTAATTTGGCCTGTTTTAGGCTATTCTGAATTCAGACAAAATGCATAATGTGATTGCAAGGATAATACAAATTTTTATTTATTAGTTTTACTTATTCTATCTTAAACCCTTATCAAAGGGTCCATTGGTCCTGTAGGTAAATCCTGTGAGAGTAAATCAAAGTGAACCTAACAAGAAACTGAAGACCTTGTTGCCTTTAAAAAAAAAATGTATGCTACAAATTTATGGCAAGATTACATGCTTTAACTATTTTAAAACTAGAATTCTGAAGTAGAAACTTGTCATAGAAAGGCTTATTAGCATACTTATTTAAATTTAAAATAAGTTTAGACTTTTTATAGCAGGAAATAAATCTAGATATTATTTCCAGTAGTGGAAGCTAAGTAATATGGACCAATATTTCTAATGGCAAAACAACTGGATAATGTTTCTTTCTTCTAATAAAGTAGAGAGAAATTACTGGGCCAACGAGAGAATAGGCACTCTGAAATTTAAGCCTAGCACTTAGGGCCACTTTGACACTGAAAGAATTTGCAATTTTTGAAGAGGCAACCAAAAGTTTGATTTGAACTTTTGGTGGTCTCGTAGGAGCAAAGGATCAGAGGTTGGAGTTGATCCATAAAAGCCACCTAAGACTGTGAGCTGAATACCTGGAAGCCTGAACCCCACAAGTAAGGATAGGTCAATAGTAAAAAGCACTTGAACAGGCTGCAGCCTAGCTTAATCCAAGTAAACAAGAAAACTTCAAGTCCTGAACTGGGATAAAGGTGATTCTAGACTGCTCTCACTTCCAGGAATCAGGCAGAAGTAAATAATACTTTTCTTCAATTAAAAACTTTTAAAGTATAATGTTCAACACATAATTAACAGTATCCAAACATATAAGAAAAAGTATACCATGAGTGAGAATCAGCACAAATGAAAGAAGAAAGAAACAGGTATACATTGATGTATAAAAACAGATATACATGCATGCCTTGTAAATATGCATAAAATGTTAAAGGAAAGAGAAATGAGCTCAAAATTTTTGTATGAAAATTACAAATTACCAAATGGAAATAATTAGAAGATTGAGGGAGGGACCAGGTGTGGTGTCTCACACCTGTAATCTTAGCACTTTGGGAAGCCAAGGCAGGATCACTTGAGGCCAGGAGTTTGAGACCAGCCTAGCCAGCATGGCAGAACCCCATATTTACTAACAATACAAACATTAGGCCAGGCACAGTGGCTCACACTTGTAATCCCAGCACTTTGGGAGGCCAAGGCAGGCAGATCACCTGAGGTTGAGAGTTCCAGGCCTGTCTGGTCAACCTAACAAAACCCCATCTCTATTAAAAATACAACATTTATCCAGGTCTGGGGGCATGTGTCTGTAGTCCCAGCTACTCAGGAGGCTGAGGCAGGAGAATTGCTTGAACCTGAGAGGTAGAGGCTGAATTGAGCTGAGATAGTGCCACTGCACTCCACGCTCCAGCCTGGACAACACAGTGAGACTGTCTAAAGCAAAAAAAAAAAAGGAAAAAGAAGGAGAAGGAAGAAGAAGAACAATAAAAAAGAAAAGAAAATTGCAGGTGAAAGTAATTCCAGAACTGAAAAATATGCTAAAGAAGTTTATAGATGGGTTCAGTAATAGATTAGACACAGTTAGAGAGGGAATTGGAGAACTGGTAGATTAATCAGAAGAAATTGATGAAGCACAAATATGCAAAAATATGAAAAATACAGAAGTGAAAGTCACAAACCTAGATGATATAGGTAGAAGAAAGAACACATACTTATTTGGAATCCCAAAAGTAAAAGAGAAAAAATATGACAAAAGCTATGATACCATTTTTATATCCATTGTGTGTTTATTTCTGATAGCTCCCTGAGCATCCCCTCACATTCTCTGCTGTACATTGAGGATGAGTTATGGTTTCACACAAACGAGCCAAAGGTGGCAGCAACAGAAGCATTCTGGCAGTCTCAACCCCAGCTCCAACAGTAATGACAGAAAAAGCCTAGAGTTAAAGGAGACAACACATGGAGAATATAAGAATGGAAAAAGGAAAAATCTGAAAGTTCATTTTTTAACATAGTTTACAGTAATTGCATTATTTGAAATCTGGACATCAGTGACCATATTTTGTCAGGTCTTTTTAAATATGAAGAAATTCTGGAAATTGAGGCATTTAATGATGCTGATGGTGTTGGAGAATCTTAACGTGGATAATGCTAGTTTTATTAGGACATAAAGGAAGTTCTACTTCAATGTGGTTACTTTTATCAGAAGAAACTAAGGATCATTTAGAGTTAGAAGTAGGTATTCCCACTGAATCACATTCCAAGAACAGTAAAGACATCAAAGAGCAAATTTCGTCCCTTCTCTATGAAATAGTAGACAAATAACATGGAGACGACAGCAATACAGGGACGATGCACCAGTTAAAAAATAGCCACCAGAAAGTGAAGACAGACTGCAAGGAAATTAGGTAGGTGATAAATTTGAGTGCCTGGAATTGAAAACATAAAGAAACTGAAGACACATAACGTGTACAAGTGAGTTTATAGGCGTATAATGAGAAAGTGGAAGAGATGCTATATTAGAGAAAAATCTAGATTCCCCAAAAGATTATACCATACTACCATGATGTAGCATACGAAGATAATAGTCAACAAGCATGTGAACCACAGAAAATAAGACATAAATTTCAGATACTGCTAGAGAAGATTTAAACACAGGTTTAGAAAAAGTAATTGTCTCTTTGATAGAGAGCAATAAAAACTGGTGGATTTCAGACTATGATGACTCCTGCTGAAGGGGTTATTGTAAATCTGAAGACCCAAAATGTTCAATAAATTTTAATATGTATAAAGATTTTTAAAAATTATGCCTCAAACACATCAATGACATTACTGACAAGCAGTGAAAAAGATAACATCTTAAAAACAGTTAGAGAAAAGATATGCACAAAGGAACACCTGTAAGAATGACTTCCAGCTTTTTGTCAGTTTGTGTAAGCCAAAAGAAAACAAATGCACATATTTTAAGTAACAAAAATAAATAAAACTAAACTAAGAAGATGTTAACTAACAACAAAAATATTTAAAATTAGAAGCAAAATAGAAACATTTTAACAAAACAAAGCTGAAAGAATGCACTGCCAGCAGACCTGAAGGAATTTCTTTAGACAGAAGAAAATAATGTATATGGAAATTCAAGTTTACACAATGAAATAAATTGAGATGAACAGAAATGGTAAACATATGGGTAAATATAAAGTACTATTTTCATCTTGTAGTTCTTTAAAATATCACTGTTAAAAGCACAATGATAGTAATGCACTTCAGGTTAATAGCACATAAAAAGGTGAATTGTGTGACAGTAGTGTAAGAGACAACAAAGAAAATGAGCATATGCTGTTTAAACTTTTTTACACTATTTTTGAAATGGTATAACATTATCATGTAAACCCTGGAGTTAAAGATGCATGCTGTAAAATATCTATGCTGTAAATCCCAGAGAGACAGCAACAGCAGCAAACAAAAACATTTAAAAAACATGTATAGTAAGCTAATAGGAGGAGATAAAATTAAATTTTAAAATTAAAAAAAAATAACTAATTCAAAAGAAAGTAACACAAAAGGAAAATAAAGAAAACAAATGTAAAACAAAAATAGATTTAAACCAAATTATGTCCATTGTTAAATAGAATTTAATAAAATGAACTTAAATGTCACACATTGTTAGTTGAATGAAAAGTTAAGACCCTACTGTATGCTGACCACAAGAAA